AAAATGATTGTTCAATAAATGAATGAGTGCTTGAGAAATGAACATACACACATAAATCACTCACTTTTTTTTTTTTCATTTCTCTTTATCTTGTCCTCTGGCTCAATTTTTCACTCCTGCATAGCATATTTATCTCTTGTAAATAACAATGTCCTCAGGCTGACTCTGATAAGCAGGTTGACTCTGATAAGCAACTGATGATGCCATTCTTTATCATGTGATAGTAGGGGAAGGGAGCTTTGAGAACTAGGTTTTCTGGGGAAATGTATCCATTTGTTTTCTCCCTTCATCCACATAATTTTCACCCTTTGATCCTTATTCTCTAGTACTTAGGTTATGTAATTGCAATTTCTCAGCAACTGTTAAGATAGATGATGTTGTTTTGAGATAATTGAGGTTCACTTGCACTCAATAGCTGACCAAAGGTCAACAAAGCAAAACTGCTGCTCCATACTTCAAAACCAAGTCTGAGGGCTGGCACTGTGGTGTAGTGGGTAAAGCTACTGCCTGCAATGCCAGCATCCCATATGGGCTCCAGTTCAAGTCTTGGCTGCTCCACTTCAGATCCAGCTCCCTGCTAATGGCCTGGGAAAGCAGCAGAAGATGGCTCAAGTGCTTGGGCCCCTACCACCCATATGGGAGACCTGAAATATCTCCTGGCCCCTGGCTTTGGCCTGGCCCAGCCCCAGCCATTGTGGCCATTTAGGGAGTGAACCAGCAAATGGAACACCTCTCTTTCTGTCTTTCCTTCTCTCTCTCTCTCTCTTAACTCTGACTTTCAAATAAACAAATAAATCTCTTTTTTCTATTTATTTATTTGACAGGTAGAGTTATAGACAGTGAGAGAGAGAGAGACAGAGAGAAAGGTCTTCCTTCCGTTGGTTCACTCCCCAAATGGCATCCTCCACTGCCCTCCCAGGCCACAGCAGAGAGCTGGACTGGAAGAGGAGCAACTGTGACTAGAACCCGGCGCCCATATGGTATGCTGGTACTGCAGGCGGAGGATTAACCAAGTGAGCCATGGCGCCAGCCCACAAATAAATCTTTTTTTAAAAAGTCTATAAAATGTGGATATTCATTATTTCTCTGTTCAACAACATTGCCTCTTGTTATAAAAATAAAGTAGTAACTCCCCTGCAATAAATGTATCCTGCATGATAGAGGAGGCTACCACAACAACACAGGAGGGCCAATATCAGCAAGTTACTATCACAGTGGAACCTCCTGGCAGAAAAGCTTGATTTGTACACAAATGGTCCTGTATTAGAGTTACTTAGAAAGAACTGATAGGATAGATATAGATATAGGTAGATAGATAGATATAGATATAGATATAGATAGATATAGATAGATATATGAGTGTAGATATAGATATGAGGGTATTTCAAAACACTTGTGGAAAAATACAATTAAAAAATTTATTTTGGTGCAAAATTCTTTTCAATTCAGTCAGTTTTTTTCCATAGTATACATTTTCCACAAATTCTTTAAAGTACCCTCATATGGGAGTAGATGTGTGTGTGTGTCTATGTGTGTGAGATAGAGAGAGAGGTTTGAGAAGGAATTTATTATGAAATTGACTTGCCATGATTATGAACCTAGGAAGTTCCATGACAGGCCATCTGCCAAGTGACAACCCTGGGTAGCTTGGCTGAGTCTAACTCTGAAGGCCTCAGAAGCAGAGATGCTGTTAGTGTAACTTTCAGTTCAAGGCCAAAGACCTAAGAATGTTGGGGTCTACAGGTGTAAGTCTTGGAGTCCAAAGATAGGAGAGAGCTGGGAGTTCTGATGTCCAAGGTTAGTATGAGGGTACCCTAAAATGTTCATGGAAAATGAAATAAATAAGTTTCTTTTCATGCAAAAAATTCTGAAATCCATACATATGAGTAGAAGAGGAGAGCATCCCAGTTTCAGAGGGGAGAGGGAGAGAGGTTGACCTCCTTGCCTACTTGTCTTTTCTCTGTTTTTGTATCTGGACCCCAATCCATTGGATGGTACCCACCCATGTTGAGGGTTAATCTTCTCCTCTTAGTGCACTGAAACCCATACACCAGTCTTCTCTAAAGACACCCTCAAAATAATGCGTTAGCAGTTCCCTAAGTATTCCTTAATCTAGCCAATCTAAAATCAACCATTGTGGATCCTGACTAAATCCTGCGATTTGTATGGTCCAGAATTCTTTGCTTGATCAGCACATACTGTTTCTTATTTTATAAGGTTAAATTGGGGGCCAGCGCCGTGGCTCACTTGGTTAATCCTCCGCCTGCGGCACCGGCATCCCATATGGGCGCCGGGTTCTAGTCTATGTTGCTCTTCTTCCAGTCCAACTCTCTGCTATGGCCCGGGAGTGCAGTGGAGAATGGCCCAAGTGCTTGGGCCCTGCACCCACATGGGAGACCATCAGGAAGCACCTGGCTTCTGGTTTCGGATTGGCGCAGCGCGCTGGCCATGGTGGCCATTTGGGGGGTGAACTAATGGAAGGAAGACCTTTCTCTCACTGTCTAACTCTGCCTGTCAAATACATATAAGGCTACATTGGTAGCCAAAAGAATATAAGATGATTAAATATCCTAAGGCATCTCTCAAATGCTTTCCAGCAAATTGTATACTATTATTTCCTAACCTACCCTTATTCTTTCTACAGGTTAATTTTTATTAGATATTGAGGAAAATCTATTTTTGGTAATTTTTACAAAACATTTTAATAGCTGAAAATATTTAAATCTTGTATATTCACACTAAGCTAATTGTGCTGCTTTGGCTTTTCTGTTTATGTCTCATCTTTATCCATATATCATGAGATATATTTAGTCCCTACCTGTTTCCCTACCACAGCTTTTATTCTGCTTTTACATTTAGTATTTTATTTGTTTTAGCAAAAAAAAAAAAGAAAGCAGTAGACAAAATATTTGAAAGCTCATATGTGTTATTTATTCATACATTCTATTTGTGTTTTGGATTTCATGCTGTGGTAAAAGTGAAGGTTTAATGACTGGTTACTGTCTGTTAACACAGACTCATAACTGAAGTAGATATACAACCCTTCAGGAACTAGATGATTGCTGGTTAGAAAAGCATTTTTCTAAAAAAATTCCATATAAGTTTGCTTAAGGACATGTAAGATAGTTGAACATAAAATTGAGCTGCAATCTAGAATTAGTATTAAACAAGCAATTACTTTTAATTTTTGTAGTGTATATAGGTACTAGCAATTACCTATGTTTACCCACAAATGACAGAAGGAATCCTTAAAATATGAAGTATATTTTATTAGCTACAAATATATTTTACACTAATAAAACATGTTAACTTACTTGACATTTACTTATAGAAGCTCATTTAATAATATCTATTTTTTTCTGTCAAAGCTAGTAATTCCAATTGCATGATGACTAGGGACTTTATTTAAGTAACTAAAAATCTCATTCCTCATTTAATGATGCCAACAAACATATATATTTTTCTACATGAGAATTTCTTATTTATTATACTAGTTCCTGAAAACATGTAAGTTCATTCTTCCTGAACAGTTATCATAAAGAAGTGGCTTTTTAATTTCCCAAAGTTATCTGTATTAGAGTCAAGTTAGAGGGTTTTAGAATATAGAACTGTGAGCTTATTTTATTTTAATTTTTTAAGATTTATTTTATTTACTTGAAAGACAGAGTTATAGAGAGAGGTAGAGACAGAGAGAGAGGTCTTCCTTCCGTTGGTTCACTCCCTAGGCCGGAGCTGCGCCAATCCGAAGCCAGTAGCCAGAGGCTTCTTCTGGGTCTCCCACATGGGTGCAGGAGCCCAAAGACTTGGGCCATCTTCCACTGCTTTCCCAGGCCATAGCAGAGAGCTGGATTGGAAGAGGAGCAACCAGGACTAGAACCGCTGCCCATATGAGATGTCTGCGCTTCAGGCCAAGGCTATAACCTGCTGCGCCACAGCACTGACACCTGTCAGCTTATTTTAAACCACATGTTATGTGATATAAATTATCTCTATAACTAAGGGAGTTTCTTCTCTTAGCTTTATTAACTGTTTGAGTTTGTACAGGGTTGAATTGTGGCCCTCAAAAGACATCTACCTGAATCTGGAATATGATCCTCTTTGAAATACAGATCTTTGTACATGTAATTAAAGAATCTCAAAGTGAGATCATTTTGAAATAGGATAGGTCTATGGCCTATATCCTTAAAAGAGACAGAAAAGGGGAGATGAATAAAGACACAGAGGGAAGAGGCTATCTATCGGAAGACAGCGGTGGAGATTGGAGTTAACCGCCACCAGCCAAGGAAAGCCAGGAGCCATTGGAAGTTGCAAGAAGCAAGGGACGATTCTTCCCCCAGAGCTTTTGTAGGGATCATGACCCTGCAAACACTTGGATTTCAGAATTCTGATTTCCAAAATGTGAGAGAAGAAATTTCTGCTGTTTAAAGCTTCAAAAGGGCTGGGCATATTGGTGCAGCAGTTTAAGATGTCACTTGGTATGCCCACATCCCGTACTGGAGTGCCAATTTCAGTCTTGGTTACTTCTCTTCCAACTCAGTTTCCTTATAATGTCCCTGGGAAGACATGGAAGACCTGTTCCATCTGGGCTACTGGATTCTACCTGGCCCAGTCCTCCTAGCTGTTATTGGCATTTGGGGGAGTAAAGCAGTAGATGAAAGATTCTCTCTTTCTCTCTCTCTCTCCACCATTATTTCTTTCTCTGTCACTCTCTCTTTCAAATACATATATAAATCTTTAAAAATAAAAAAGTCACAAAATTTGTGATTTGTTGCAGTGACACTATGAAACAAGTCCAGCTATACATTTGATACTAAATACAGATTTTCAATTATTTTAAATGTTATCCTGTGGCTATGCTGTGTTTATAAATAAGAGCTTTTCTTTAAGTGTATGAAAGACTAAGTATTTGTCACCAAAAACAAAAAAGGGTAATTGCATATATTGATGATTCCATTTAGCCTCATAAAGTTCCTGTTTTGGCTTTATTTTACCTACCATAGATATAGCTGGTGGCTATTCATCTTCCATGCTCGACGCAATCAGAAGAGCAGTGATGGTTTCTAATATCCTTTTAATTAATAAGGTAAATGAGAAAAGTCTCACCCTCAAAGAAGTCTTCAGACTAGCTACTCTTGGAGGAAGCCAAGGTAATGACTGTTTTCTTTCTCTCTCAATGTGCAACCCTGCCAATCTGTGTGGATCAGTGCACAGAGTATATTGCGCAAATAGCACACGTGGATGCAGTGTGAAGGCACGTGAGGGTGGTATCAGGGAGATCCAGTATCCATGACTCATATCTTATGTAACATAACTAAGAAATACATACTCAGAAAGTATATATTCAGGCACATGGTGCAGGACTTTTTGTTTGTTTTTTGACAAACTCACTGTTTTGGCAGAATAAAAATCAGATATGTAATTATCATGTGAATTGCTTCAATAAATGTTCACATTGGTCACAAGCTTATGAATTCTTTAAAATAATGCATTCTTCTATTGAGTCAAGTAACTTGTTCTCTGTTGAACAGAGTGATAACAGTAATAGTAAAATTAATAGCCAAGACTCTTACTGAGTTCTTACCATGTGATAAACACTATGTAGCACACTTTACATGTTATTTGATTCCCACAGCCACTGTTTTCAATTCCATTTGACTAACAAGGAGCCTGAATGAAGGTTACACAGCTATCAAGTTACATTGTATTATGATTTGAATACAGAAAATATGATACAAATAGAGGTTCTTCCTTTCTGCCCTGCATTTACCTTTCTACATAAATCCCTGCCTAGGCCATGTGTTTGGTTTATATGTTTAAATACACCAGTGATTCAAACCTGCTTAAAAGAAGAAAGATGTAAAAATATAGCTGGTTGATCTGAAAATACTGCTTCGCAGTTTTTCCTAGTTTTCATGTATAACTGTATTTTCATGAAAAAAATAGAAATTCGTAATTGTATGGCTTTAAGTCACTTTAGAATTATAGTGCAATCTGAATAGATGATAGTAAAAAATAGCATGAGACCATATGCAACTGGTGGGAAATTAAAGTAAGATACAGATATATCTGCATATATGGGTGCAGATTTGTTACAGGTGTCCTGGGTCTTAGAAATAGAGGGTGATTGAAGCCAAGAATATCCTGGGAAGAAAAATTTGGAGTGTTTTGGGCTTTGATGAACACCATAAAGGACATTTCAAGAAGAACAAGTAGCAGTTATGTTCTTTACATTCCCTGAAGTCTTAGGGTTTCATTTTCTACAGTTCTGTGTGTGACGCCCCCTCTCGCCTCTACACAGCCACCATTGTATTTGCACATCTGAATGTAAATTCAAGTAGCTGTTCTACCATCAATTTTCATGGTGAAAACAAGTGGCATTTAAATAGTGCTTTTTGTATTCTAGGCTCTCTGTGAATTGCTTCATCAGGATGCTGTTTCTGATCAAGCCGGCATGGGGTGCCTACCAAGTCATTTCTACCTTGCTGTGTAGCTCTTAAATCTATTTCTGGGCCCACTGGGCTTACCACTGTGGAATTTCTTCTCCTTAACTTATATTTCTGCTATAGTCTAAGTGAAATGAGATGAATGGATTTGTGTTTAAAGTGTGGCCTTTCCATTTTCCATCAGAAAGATCAAGATATGTAGAAATCAGCTACACAGAGCCAACATTTGCTCTGAAAACAGTAAAACTGCTTTTCGTGAAATTCATTTGAGTCACTTTGACCCCAGGAGGGCCCATTTGTAACCATTTGGATTTACATCAGTTTACAAATTCACTGAAAGCAATTGTATTTTGGGGGGGCATTTATTCCTGAACTCTTCAGGCTCTAACAAATAGCCCAATAAGTTTATAGACCTTCCAACTTGCCTGGATCCTGGGAAATAAGTGTACCTGATGATCTGGCCAATTTTATGCTGAATATAGACATTAAACTCATGCTTGTCCTGCTTCTTTGTCAAGGGTAAGAAGAAGTAGAGTGTGATCAGTGAAGGAGGAGAGAATTTCCAGTCATTTTCTATGACATTCAATCCTCACCCATTAGTAAAAATCACCTAACAGCTTTTAACATTTCTAATAATTTTCATATCCCTGTCTTGCTATGAGAATTCTTTAACTAAAAAAAAAAAACCTTGTTCTTTTCTGAGAATAAAAGAGTTGCCCCTTAAATCATCTTTTAAGAATAAGTAAGGTTTCTAAGTCAGTTATTAGAAAACAGCCATGTCTTCTGGATACCTATGCATAGGAATAAAATGCTTCAGATACTGCCCTACAGGGATAATTGTTCCAGTATTTCCACATTGGACTATACCCTGACAGTGACAGAATACAACACACACACATAAGAACTGGAATACCTAGTGTTGCACCCAAGTTAGCCTTCCTTTTATGTAGGCTGCCGCTTACAGCCTCATTGTACACCTTGCTCAGGGTACAGGTTTTAAGGAGCTTTAGACTCAACATTTTCATTGACCAGGAAAGCCAACTGCCCCCAACTTCCACAACTAAATCATAGGAATGAGACATGTTCTTCCTTGACTTCCAGTAATCATGGAACATGAATTCTAGTTATGAGATTAGTCAAGTCCATAGCCATTATTAACCTATGCCTATTTTAGAAAACCATTCTGCAGCCACCTTTGAGGTTGCATAGATTGATCTTCTTTCAAAAACATTGAGATTCTTGAGTTATGAGTGCCTGTTACTGAGAAGTGAGCTTTTTTTTCTGTTGAAAGATTTTAACTAAATAATTTATAATTGATATTGATGAATATGCAAAAGAGTAGTTTTCTTATTTATTTGAAATTCACTTCAATATCATTCATTTAAGCTCCTCATGGAACAAAAAAGACAAGGAAAGAAGCTGAAGTATTGGGAGCAGAATAGGAGGGAAAAAGAAAAAAGGTGTTATGTCAATCATCGTGTTTGTGAGAGTGAGAAAAAAAATGCATAGACCATCTGGGCTATGCAGTACAAGGACAGAGCTGAAATAGACAGCATCAGAACTCTGATGATGGTGATGAAGGGAACTGTTTTTATTCTCAGATTACGCTTTGCTGTGCTTACTGTGCTTTCTATAAGCAGAAGTCTCATAATCTCTTGGGATCGGAGCATATTTCTGCCTCACCATAAAGACACTAATTTTTTTTCTAGTGGCATACATGTTGGCAGATTCTGTCCTTGCAAACTGAGACCTTAGCATGGTCTGGTTGTTTGCAATTCTGACTGTTGATCTACTTGTTCCCCTTTGTAGCCCTGGGGCTGGATAATGAGATTGGAAACTTTGAAGTGGGCAAGGAATTTGATGCCCTCTTGATCAACCCCAAAGCATCTGACTCTCCCATCGACTTGTTTTATGGGGATTTTGTTGGTGATATTTCTGAGGTAAGAATAAGAGAATTATTCTAAAGGTATGTGTTTTATGAAGTAGTCATAATCACTTTATAGAAAACAAAATCAAAACTAAAACATTTTAATGGAATGCAAGAGAATCTTAAAGGGGAGCGAGGTCTCTTTAATAATGATAATAAAAAATACTCATATTTTGAATGTATTTGTCTATTTGAATGTATTTGGCTATAAATAGCCATAATATAACTAGCACATATTTAACACTTGCTACATAGTAGGTACACATGGGATTAAAACACTTTCATACATAATTTTATTTAATTTCAGGACAACTCTTAAAAGAGCTATTAATATTGCCATTACTATTAATATTGCCATGATAATTACAGGGACATTGAAACTTAAGGAATGTTAAGTGTTTTGCCTAAGGACTTATGGCTAGTATTTAGCAGATGGAGTTTGGATTCAAATGCAGGACTTTTTGACTACTGGAGGCTGGGCTCTTGACCATTATGCTATGTTGATTTTCTTAATTTTATAAGAAAATGAATTTTGTTCCTCTTATTAGAAAATGTTTTCCTATGTATGAAATAAACTAATTCATCTTACTTTAATAATATTTATCCTTAGGTCAAGGCTGAGGTCCCTATAACAAAAGAGAGATTAACAACAGAGAAGCATACAAGTTTATTTAATAAAGTTTTATGTAACACAGGGGCTTCATACAATAATGAAAATATTAAGAAATGGACAAACCTGAATAGTTTTTAAAAATGTACTTATAGGGCTAGCATTGTGGTGCAGTGGGTTAAGCCACCAGCTGCAATGCCAGCATCCCATATGAGCACTTGTTCAGGTTCTGACTGCTCCCTTCTCATCCAGATGCCTGCTAATGCACCTGGGAGAGCAGCAGAACATGTCTTAAGTACTTGGGCCCCCCACACATGTGGAAAATCTGGTTGGAGTTCCAGGCTCCTGGCTTCTATCTGGCCCAGCCCTGGGTGTTGCTGCCATTTGGAGAGTGAGCCAGCAGATAGAAGTTCGTTCTGTCTCTGTCTTTGTCTCTCCCACTGTCTGTGACTATTTTTCTTTTTCTTTTTTTTTTAAGATTTATTTATTGATTTGAAAGTCAAGAGTTACACAGAGAGAGGAGAGGCAGAGAGAGAGAGAGAAAGAGATCTTCCATCCACTGGTTCACTCCCCAAAATTGGCCGCAACAGCCAGAGCTGCACCGATCTGAAGCCAGGAGCCAGGAGCTTCTTCCAGGTCTCCCACATGGGTGCAGAGGCCCATCTTCTACTGCTTTCCCAGGCCATAGCAGAGAGCTTGATTGGAAGTGGAGCAGCCGGGACTTGAACTGGCACCCATATGGAATGCCGGCACTGCAGGCAGCAGCTTTACCCGTTATGCTACAGCGCCGGCCCCGACTCTTTCAAATAAATTAAAAATATATATTTTAAAAAATTAAAAAAGTTATTTGAGAGGCAGACAGAGACAGATTCAGTTTCCTTCCTCTGGTTCACTCACCAAATGCCTGTGGCCCCGGCTGAAGTTAGGAACTGGAAATTCAGTCCCCATGGGTGGCAGGAATCCAAGCACCTGAGCCATCAGCACTGTCTCCCAGGGTCTGCACCAGAGCTGGGTATTGAACCCAAGCACTCTGATCTAGAATGTGGGTGTTTTAGCTAACTTGCTTAGTTAGCCAAATCTACCCCACTTGAGTATTTTTATGGTAGGTTTGATCAAGAGTGAAGCCTCATGGAGCAATAGAATAGTACAAAGAGCCTAACTGGTGGTCATGGCTGGGGGAGGCTAGCGAGGCCTGTTTGCTCAGAGTCTCCTCTGTGACCCTTTGTCCTCAGAGATAAGGATGCTCTTTCCCTCCAGGTATATGAAGGGCGCCTCTCACATGAGGGTCTGTGTCTGCTTCAGGGAAGAAGAGGGAAGAGGCAGGTCGTAGTGAAATTCCTGCTCTTGATTTTAGGGCAGCCTGTTATGACTCCATCATTATTTTCATGGTATTCTTTTACTTTTATTAGAGTGAATTTCTGGGAATAGGACTCAGACTTGTTCATGTAAATTCTAGGACATTCTTCTTACATAATATACCTCTTGAAATAATTGAATTGTTATATTAAATTAATTTGATTTGTATAATACTTTACCTCTGAAGATTTCAAGGTTATATACCAAAAAGTTTTAGATAATAAATAAACATTCATTACTAGCCAGTAGTTTATTTCTTTGTTTTTGTTTTTTAAGCAAAAGACCACTTCATTTTAATTAATAAAAGTTGATTTTGCCATTGAGAAATAAATTTCAGTTTCTGGGCTTTGACAATCAGGATTGTCTATGAATGTCATTTTCGAAGTGTACAAAATAATGATTCTTATTACTTTTATTTTTCATTGTAGGCTGTTATCCAGAAATTTCTCTATCTAGGTAGGTAATTGTATGATCCCTATACTAAATAAAATCTTTGTCCTTTTCTTGGCTATCTCTGTATTAATAGTATTATATATTACCATTACAGTGATAATTTGCTTTGGTTGATTTTTTTTTAACACTCCCAAGCATCACTTTTTAAAGGTACTACCTGAAAAACACATGACCCTCTAGGATATCCTAAGTTGAGGAATGGAAAGCCAAATAGGAAGAAATCTTTATGTTCAGTCTTCTTACATTCCTTCTATCCCCACAGTCTGTCCTACCTTATTGTGTATGTGATAAGTATTTAGTGGAGTCTTTCTACACACGCTTTTCATGTACTTAGATTCAAGTATATGCACACAGAAAAAGAGAGAGGGAGGAGAGAGAGAGAGAGGGAGAGAGAGGGAACTATTAAATAGTTCACAAGATTCTACTTGGCCTTCCATTCTGTTGAGTGAGCTCAATACTGAGTGACTTTTAAAAAAAAATCACTAAAAATAAAAATTTTATATGGGATACTGTGTAATATTTCATTACCTGTATACATCATATACTATCCAATCAGGGTTAATGTATGTATCCTTTGAAGCATTTAACACTTCTTTATAGTAAACATATCCAAAATCCTATCCTGTAGTTTTTCTCTTTTTATAGCAAGGTATATAATACATTAACATTATCTATAGTCACCCTACTGTGTAATAGAACCGTAGACTTCTTACTCCTATCTTGCTATAACCTAGTACCTATCAATCCACCTTCCGCAATCCTCCCTGCCCATTTCCCTCCCCAGCTTCTGTTAGCCAACATTATATTCTTAACTTCTATGAATTCACCCATTTTTATACGTCACATATGAATGAGATAATGTGATACTTGTCTTTCTATGCTTGGGTTATTTCACTTAACATAATACTATCCAGTTCCATCCATGTTTTTGCAAATGAAAAAATTTCATCCTTTTTAAATGAATGAGTAATAGTCCATTGTGGATGTATACCATATTTTCTTTATTTATGGATACTTACTTATTTCCATCTCTTGGCTACTATGAATAGTGCTGTAATAAACATGAGAGTGTACTTATCTCTTCAACATGGATTTCATTTCCCCGAGATTGCTGGATCCTATGGTAATTCTGTTTTCAGGTTTTTTTGAGGAAACTCTGCAGTGTTTTCCCAATGGACCTATTAGTTAACAGTCCCTCCGAGAGTGTGGAAAGGTTCCCTTTTCTCCACATTCTCACCAATAATTGTTATCTTTTGTCTTTTCGATAATAGCAAATCTTGATGATTGGTGATGTTTAACTTTTTTTTTTTCACATACCTGTTGTATTTTTGTATGTCTTCCTTTGAGAAATGTCTGTTTAGACATACTGCCATCTTTTAAATTGGATTGTTTTTTGCTATTGAGTTGTGTTCCTTATATAGTTTGGACACATGCTATTTTTTTTTTCAGAGCTCAGGTTCTGTAGATGATTCATTTCACTGTGTTGAATGTGATTCTGGAGTAAGGATAACTGTTCCACTTCCAATGGGGGCTGAGAACAGAACCAAAACAATTCAACTGAAAAGACAGGGACAGGGAGTCGATTTAACTTTGTATGATTTCTGCCTTAGGTTCAGAATTCAGACTGTAATCCCGAAATTCACCATGGCACCTTCTGTTGATACCACCTTCCTTTCTAGATTATAAATAATCCAAGAGGAAAAAAAAAGGCAGCATTTTGTGTTCCCTCTCTGAGAAGTGAATTTTTTAAAGTTAAATTTCTCTTGAAGGCACTTAAAATAGTTAATGACACAAAAGTACTTTGTAAATGATTCCTTGATTTTTCTTTCAGGAGATGATCGAAATATTGAGGAGGTTTATGTGGGCGGAAAGCAAGTGGTCCCATTTTCCAGCTCGGTGTAAGACCTCCTGGCTCTGTGAAGATCTTCTGGGATCACCTGGTTCCATATCTGTCTTGTGCTCAGGAGGAGGTAGAAAGTCAAGAAATAAATCCTTGCTTTGGGGATGACGATCTCTTAGCTACAGTATTCACCTGACTAACTGTACAAAGGAAGTTACATTAATTCCCGGCTCTTGGTTGCAATGTTCATAATTTGGTGAACTGTTCAGATTTACTTTAAACTCAAATAGAAGGGAATGCAATTGCTAGTGATGTTCTTATTATAAGACTTCAGTAAAGTGTTTTTTATATGTGGAAATGTGGAGAGAAAAGATATTTCCATGGATAGGTATTTTGAGCTAATCAATGTAAAACTTAGGAAACTAAAAATGAACCCTTGAGTATATTTTTATGAGGGAGCAAAAGTGAGATAGTGAACAAATGTTGGAAAATCATTCCTGATTTTGTTGGAAAAGCATATACTGAGCATACCCATTTATGAAGAGCACTCATTGAATTTTAAAACGTGTTTCCAGATTGACTTTGTGTTTTGGAAACTTGCACTTAATGGAATTTGCATTTCAGAGACGTGTTATTGTTGTGTTTTGCCTTCTTTCAGGATGAATGTCAGAAACTGAATGCCTGTGCTTTCTTAATATAGTTCTGTGCTTAAAAGTGTTTGACAGAAGTTGGGTATTAAAGATTTAAATTCTCTTAGGAATTTTATTTGTAGAACCACATGGCATAAATAGTTGTATTTTTGTGTACTTTGAAATCACCCTGACTTGTATCTATGTGATGTTGTAACTGCTCTGTTTTACTAGAAAAGAAACAAACTCCGTACTCCACTGTTGTGTGGACTGGAGTCTTTATAAACCAGGCCAACAACTGGGCACCTGGGACCTGCTGATAGTATCGGAAACGCCTCCCCTGCAATGGCTTGTTCCACCAAACACTGTGCCATAGTTGCTGGAAACTTCACACTCAGATATCTGTCTGCTAGAATTTTAAATGAGGGACAAATTTTGTTTAAAAAAAATCATTAAAAATCTTTAAACTGTATATTGAAAGCATCCTATTTTCTAATTTTATCCAACTGTCTGTTTAATGCTTTGTAATTTTTAGGATATTAGAATTTTAATATAATTAAAAATACATGTCCCACTTAATGTTACATTAATAGGACTTAATCTGTACTAGCCATCTAGAAACACTAAATAAAGCAGAGTGTTTTGTGCTTCCCAATATAGTGTCCTTTCTCATAATCTTGAATTAAAACCAAATTTTGACCTTATTATAAATCCTTAAAAAGTATTCATGTGAATATGATTTAAATCTTACTCTTCTTATTAAATTCTAAATACTATAATGAACAAGGAAATGGAACAGATTTTTCTTAATATATACTTAATATATATTTCTTAATATATATTTGTCCCCAGAGTTTAGCTATGAGTCTTTGATACTACCTTATAGTAAAAACTTTATGTAATCTAGCTAATTCCATATTTATATAACTAAGTGCACAATTCATCTCTGTAGTATAAATTTTCACGTATTCATGCTAAATTATTAGTAATTTGACCTCTCCCTTATACCAAGTAGAAACACTTTTAGATTTGATTATAGATACACTATACCTAAAGATGGAACAATTTTTTGTCTTTTTTTTAACAAAACAAAAGAGCTTATTTTGTGGGATATTGAGTAACTTGGTAAGCCCCATTTTCAGTCTTGGTATGAATTTCCAGTGTTTCTATTTCGTGATCCATGCCAAAGATGACCTGCCAAATTTTTTCCCATTTCTCTCCAGTGCTGGCAAATGTCTTCTATTCTCTCTCAGCTCCTGCGAAAGGAATTCAGTTAAATGGTGTCTAACCCCAATGAGTAGGCTTGGAATTTATATGAGATGCGTAAGACCCATTAATAGGCAGTAGATGCTTTTAACCTTTGAAAGATCCCACAATTTTACCTTCCTTAAGGATGTATATTTTAATGTTGAACATCAATTTTCATTTAGATTTAGGATTTACATGCAGTAAATATAAATAAGTGTAGCCATCAGAACCAAGAAGAATGGCCATGTATAACCATTCAGGCATACATTAAATTTAGCCCTGATAGTATGTTAAGACATGAATATGTTTTCTAGTGAAAATAGAACGTGTTGAAATGTTTACGTGTACTTGATCTCTCTGCATCCTTTATAACTTATGTGTTTTATTTCTTTGAGTGCAGTGTTCCTAATGTTACATATGCTTTTTCCAGTGCTACAGGCATTAGTCACACATGGGGCCAGATGTTCTGCACTTTGAAATGTTGCCTTTGCCTAATGTAGGTTGACGTTCTAACTTGTGGAGAGGCACCATGCCAAGCCAATCCTATCTGTCGCTGTGTGTCTGAACACTTTGCTCTCTGACAGGAACAAGGAGATTAAAACTTCCCATCAGATTCCGCTCCAAACCCTGCACCAGTTGCCTCATGTTCCATAATATTTTCACCAGAAAACACTTTAAAATGTAAAAAATGTAGTCTCAAGAATCAAATAATATAAATATGCAGACTGATTATCTAAGGTGAATTTCTTTTCTGTAAGAGAGGGACACATGAGAAATGAAAGATTAGGATGGACAAGGCTGTTGTGACCCTCATGAACTGAGGCCAAGGAGTCTCTGCTCCTTTGTTTATCCTCCCAGCTTCCCTAATTGAATTGCCAAAAGTTTTAGATTCCAAGAGATTGTCTTGGAAGAAGCCCCCTTCTCACCAGGAGGAAGTCCTTGTAAGTCAGTGCCCTGAGCTTTGAATCACCTGGAATCTCTCTTTTACTTCAGGGAGAATTCTGAAGTTTAAAGAAGAAGGGTAGGAAATATGCCTCTTCATGCTTAGCTGATTTTGAGGGTGCTCTTGAATACCCTACTTGGCAACTGCACTTGACATCATAGAGAGGAAACACAATTGGTGTGAGATGTAGCAGTGTATTTTGAATCTTCACTCCCTACCAGACTCTTCCTATTTTTAATCTTTTCACCTCAAAACTAGGCATATGGGAAGATTTAAAGACAAGCTAGAAGGCACAGTGTATAAATTCTGCCCTGTGCTATGTGTGGAAGGTGTCCAGAATTGAATGCTTCTGGAACCTACTGGATATCTTTCCATTGTTGTCCTTTTTTTTTTTTTTTTTTAGTTGATAATGCTTCTGGACCTTCACACATTTAAAAAGTATTATTCTGAGTTATTATAGGGTGGGCTGAGAGTGCGTCATGGGCAATGCCTTGACATTACTTTTTAGTTCTGTGCATTGGTAAGAGTTTTTAAGGTTTTTGTTTTTCAGAAGGCATAAAGGACACTTTTGCTATTTTAGATCTCTTAGGTATGACTTTGGACCATCACATCTTAAAATGTCTCTAAGTACATTAAAGAAGTATGCAAATAAATGACATTAAAAAATGTTGAATGGCATGAGAGGCAGCACTTGTGAAAGGCCACTATTAGAAAGCCTAGCATTGTTCTCCATGCAGGGTCCCTTTCCCTCCCATAGCCCTTAGCGTGCAAGGTGGGGAGTTGAAGGGATGGTTTCTAGTGAAATGCTAAACTCAAACAGGCCAATGATGAAATTCAGTATAAATTCGAGAGGACTTTCATAGCCCAAGAGATTTGCATGGCTTGAGTATCAAATGTTATTCTTAGCTCATCTGTTATGTGCCTCTAATTTATTTGCCATTTCCTACCCCAAAGCCTGTCAGAAAGCATTCTTTAGAGAAAACTGCCTTGCATTATTGTTAAACTCCTGATTGCTGCTCCTAAGAATATATATGTTGTGTTCATGGGGACGTTTTTTCCAATATTGATCTGATTTGCTTATTGTTATTGTGTTGAGTGAGCTTCTTTGTGCTTCAGACAAAAATAAATGAGATTTTGTGTTTATGTTATTTTTCTGTGTGAGCTCTCTGTTCAGTTTTGTTGTGAGTTCTATCAGTCTGATAGAAAGGAATTACAACACTTTTCTTCTTTTGGCATGAATTTTTGAAAAACAGAAAAGAATATTTATCTGTGGGTCAACATGTAACAACATATATAGTGACTATGATAGTCACTATGGTATATGTAGTTTTTTAAAAAAAAAAAAAACTAAGGTATAATGTTCATAGCTTTAGAATCAGTTTGCTGGGCCTGGTGTTGTGGCATAATGAGTTAAGCTGCCACCTCCGCCACTGGCATCTCATATAAATGCTGGTTCTAGTCCCAGCTACTCTACTTCCAACCAAGCTTCCTAATAATGTGGCTGGGAAAGCAATGAAAGATGACCCAAATCTTTGGGCCCTGTACCATATGGGAGACTGGATGGAATTCTAGGCTCCTGGCTCTGGTTTGGCCTAGCCCCAGCCATTGCAACCATTTGGGTAGTGAATCAGTAGATGGAAGATCTCTTTCTCTCTCACTTTCTCTCTCTCTCTCTCTTCCTCTCTCTGTAACTCTGCCTTTCAAATAAATAAATAGTAAGTAAATCTTTTTTAAAAAAATAAGGATCAGTTTGCTCTTGCTTTCCATTTCAGCCTAGTTAATATTTTTAAACCCATAACCCAAAGTAAGAAATGTACTTTACATTAAGAATCAGTTCACACATATATATGTATGTTTAAAATAATGTGCTATAATACTTTACCACAAAATAATACTTTACCTGTCCCAAGCTATTTTCAGTAGCATTTTATTTCATTTTTGTGCTGCTGCTGATTCTTCCCGTTGGTTCCTTGCCCTCTAGTGAATCAGCACCTGCAGTTCAGAAGCAGTGTTCCAGTATCTTTCAGTTAGGTGGGAGTCTAAGCTTAGCCACTCCCTAGCTGAATGGAGGACACATTACTTTAGCTCTCCGTGGCTTTAAGTCTCTTTTTTTTCCTTTGTGACATAGGATTACATGAATGCCTGCCTTACGCTTATCCTCGGATTAAATAAAATGATACATAAACAGCACTTAAGATAGCACCTGGAACACATGAATGCAGGGAAGAGAAATAAAAGTGAGTTAAAAATATTTTATCAGGGGGCCAGCGCCATGGTGCAGTAGGTTAATCTTCCGCCTGCAGCACTGGCATCCCATATGGGCGCCGGTTCTAGTCCCGGCTGCTCCACTTCCAATCCAGCTCTCTGCTATAGCCTGGGAAAGCAGTTGAAGATGGCCCAAGTGCTTGGACACCTGCACCCGTATGGGAGACTGGGAGGAAATACCTGGCTCCTGGCTTTGGATCAGCACAGCTCCGGCCGTTGCAGCCATCTGGGGAGTGAACCAATGGAAGGAAGACCTTTCTTTCTCTCTCTCTCTCTCTCTCTCTCACTGTCTGTAACTCTACTTCTCAAATAAATAAAGAAAATCTTTAAAAAAAATATTTTATCAGTTTTTTTAAGGATCTAAATCAAGTGATGTTAAGGATCTCTCTACACATAAAAGCATTCTATATCTGATGTTTACTACATGTTTATTAGTGTTATTTATAACATTTAGAGTAGTAGATTTGGGCTGTAGATTCACACCCACTGTCTGAGCAACTTGCAGGATAAGTCCTGGATGACCTTAGTGATGCAGCACCCTGTCCCCAACCCCTCACTTGTTCTCAGAGTAACTGTGGAATGTACTGGAAATGTAACATTCTGAGATAAAGGGAACCTGCTCAGAACAGCTGAGATCCTGTTCCTATCTGGTGCACTGCCGTACTTTAGCCCAGAGTCCGGTTTCACTCCAATATAAAACCCAGGATGGAGTGTGCTTCTGGGGTCCCTCAGCTGTGGTGCAATGCAGGATGCAAGCAGACGAGACTCCATCAACCCCAGGCAGCTGTCCTGAGCCTTGGGCTGCCTCACCGTGAATCCTAGGCTTCCATTTTCTGTTGCTGTCTGTGAGTGATAAGAGTTGCTTCACTAAGCTTGTGTGATTGCTCTGTCTCCCCAGACATGCAAATGGTAGAAACTGTAGCCCAAGATGCAGTGGGCACAGTGAACCTGTTTCATACCACTTAATAAATAAGCACTTTTTTTTTCTCTGCTAAAGAGCAACTTAGTCAAAATGCCCAGAAGAGAAATCTCACATGCATAATTTATAATAATGAGTGCCTAATTAGCATATTGTGGATACAAGATTCTGCAATGGGTAATTATTAGACATGTGCAAATTATTGCACAGTACTCAACTGAGGATTTAAATAAGATTTGTACATAAATATTTGCCTGTAACAAAACAGGACTTGGGATAAAGTGTTTTAAGACTCCATGAAAAGGCCACTCAATAGAACAACCCAGAAGCAGCTGTCATCAATAGGAGCAGGTTTTGGGGGTTTTTTGTTTGTTTCTTTCTTTTGATCTTGTATTAAAATAAGATAAAAAGAAAGTATGCTCTGTCCTTTAAAGTGATAGGACAGTATTTTAGATTTAGTTTTTTGCTAATTCAGAGTTAACCCTCTTTTAGTTCCACCCTGCTCCTAGCCTACATTTGCAACTATACAGTTACATTGATGATACATTTTGAATTTTTCGTGTTCCTAAAATTGATGGATGTATAATGTACCACAGAGATGAAAGTGTTCTCTATAGCAAAAACTTTGATAAGAAATTCCTCAGTGGTGACACATAAAATAAATATTTGTAAATATCTTTCTCCCCAGTACAAAAAGTGCTGTATATGTGTGTGTGTGTGTGTGTGTGTGTCTATACATACATACATACATACATACATATATATATGAATGGACACATTGCATGGAATTTCACAGACCACTTGGGCTCTCCTGTATTGCTGCGATTCTGCCCTGCCTCATTGAGCATAAGCAAACATTTTTTCCCCTGTCTATTGAAAGAGAATCCAAAGTCATGAACAATCAAATCAAACATAAGGAAAATAAAAGCTCTGGAAAAGTATCAGTCAGATGGCAAGAGGTTCTCAAACGCTTACATGAACATTAGAATTTGTTACTTCCCTGGAAAGTTGACTTCTGTCCTTTTAATCTTGAACAATCTCCATATCAAAGTTTATTGAACTGCTGTCAAAGCCACACCCCATTAATGAATAACCCAGAGAAGAGTTCTGTTCTTGTGTTTCTTTTTTAAAAATTTTCTAAACTTCCTATCCTGGAGCACTTGAGAGACTTTACAACAACCTTGGTAGTTTTCTTTCTTTGTTCTTTTCCTTTTCTTCATTTAGCCAAAGTTGTTTTCATCCCCACCTGAGGGAGGGAGAAATGCAGGATGGCTTTGTGCCTGTAGAGCGCTTTGTAAACCTTGACTGAAGCACATAAACAGATAAAGGCCTGAGAGGCTTTTGTTATTTCAAAGGAAAAATTAAGAGGCTCAGAGTAACCGGTACACAAGCTTCTTTCAATTTGTGAACACTTTATTCTTAGCAAAGCTATTAAAGATGAATTGGGCTTGGCAACTTACATATTTTGAACTAATTTATATAACCACAACAAGCCTTCCAGCATTATTAATATGTCCTGGCATAACACAGTGGCACATTGCGCATCCAGTAAAACCTCGTGGTAGTGACTCAGTAAAAGAAATTAGGAGGTTTAGGTAGTTTGTTTAAGATTAGTAATATATTTTAATGTCATTTGGGACAATTTTAAAGATGCATTATTGTAATTTATGGGGAAAGGCCGGCGCCGCGGCTCACTAGGCTAATCCTCCGCCTTGCGGCGCCGGCACACCGGGTTCTAGTCCCGGTCGGGGCGCCGGATACTGTCCCGGTTGCCCCTCTTCCAGGCCAGCTCTCTGCTGTGGCCCGGGAGTGCAGTGGAGGATGGCCCAAGTACTTGGCCCTGCACCCCATGGGAGACCAGGAGAAGCACCTGGCTCCTGCCTTCGGATCAGCACGGTGCGGCCATTGGAGGGTGAACCAACGGCAAAAGGAAGACCTTTCTCTCTGTCTCTCACTTTCCACTCTGCCTGTCAAAAAAAAAAAATTATGTAATTTATGGGGAAAATCATCATAGAGAAACTTACACAAAATCTTCATGTTCTCTATGAAATGACTGCTCTGATTGAAAAAGTCGGTATAAATGCAATAAAAATCACCATTTGATGGTGGTGGGGGTACTGCAGACCTTGAATATGCATAATTTATTCCAAAATAAATTATAATTAATCACTTCAGTTGCCCTGAAATGTACTTGGCTGTTCTCCTAAGGTTTTCATGCCTTGATAAGCTGTTATGCTTAAAAATAATTTGTTGCACTTTTTAAAAATAGAAATTCATACATACAGAAAGTACAAAATAATTGCTTATGAAGTCACATTCAATTTACTAATCATAAAGTTGGTTCATTTTAACTAATACCCATTCAGGCAGCATTTCATCGAATGCACACTAGATACCAGGCACAGGTCAGCTTTGAGGGTTAAAACAGCATTCACCTCATGGAGGAACTCAGAGTCTCGGATAGTCAGTGAGTAAGAATATGTAGATAAGCTAATGTATTAGGTTTATGAGAGATGCATAGAAATCTAGGGGTGCTTAAAGAGGAAGGGATGAGTTGAGCCTGTGATGTGTAGGGGTTACAGAGTCTATAAGATCGTGGTGAATATTCCGCAGAAGAAGTGAACTGGCATCTGAGCTTGGAAAAATAGTGATTTATTTTTCATATAAAGACTCATAAAAAATATTCCAAGTAGAACTTTCAGCAGAGCAATAGCAGGTTGTCACAAAGATGAGAATGAGTTGGACTAATCCAGTTATTCTAAGATTCACCAAGGATTTTAGTTCAAAATGAGTTTCCAGGCATTCTCTCTGTAGTCTCTGATTCAGTAGAATTAGATTTTTTGGACTGACACCCAAAAATCTGTATTGGGTTGAATATTCCTATCCAAAATGTTTGGGACCAGAAGTGGTTTTGGATTTCAGATTTTGGAATATGTGCAAATATATAATGATATATCTTGGGGG